AATTGCACCACTGGGTCCTATCCCTCCGTCGTACCTCTACATACCCTTACCGCAAAACACCCTTTGAACACGCCTGTCAGCATTCCCCAGGGTCCCCTGGTCTCATTTCTGTAATTTATGCCTCCCTTAACAGTAGGTCTCCTCACCACCCCTGTCTTATGTCTCTCAATGGGAGCGAGATCTGGGTGTCTCGATTGCGGCGGATTATTGGCGTAGGGCCTGGGGGATGGTGGCGAAATGTTCATTCAATACAGTCACTCTTGTGGCAGCCTACAAAGTTCTACTGCGGTGGTACTGGGTCCCGGCTCGGACTGCTCACTTTAATCTGACTGGCGGAGATAGGTGTTTCCAGAACTGTGGTCTACGCGGGGACGTCTTGCACATTTGGTGGTCGTGCCCGCGATTGATAGGCTTCTGGTCTAGGATTTTTGGTTTGCTACAAACGCTATTTCATTTTACGGTCCGTAGGGATGCAAAGGTGGCCCTCCTGCATTGCCCAATTTTGGGTCTGTCTAGGTCTCAGCAGAAATTGGCATCCTACCTATTTATTTCGGCCAAACGTGCTATAGCTCAAGCTTGGAGAACCCCTTCGGTTGTCTTCCAGGGGGTGAAGACCCGGATGAATGCTATGTTATTCAATGAACAGATGTCTAGCGTTCTTAATGATTCTCATCTGAGATTCCTTAAGGTTTGGGAACCTTGGATACGCTATTCCTTGCCATCCCTGCCTCTACTAGTTATGGCCTCCTATAGTCGCTGCCTGTGCTAGCCCTGGATCTGTGATCCTTCTAGTTTCCCTTCTTTCATGTTTTATTTCTGATTCCCTTTTTTTCTTTTTTTTTTTTCTTTTTTTTTTTTTTTTTTTTTTTCTTTTCTTCTAACCTTTTTTCTTTCCTCTTTTCTGATATTATGTTGGATTACTGCTGTATTTGGTTCGGCTTTTTTTTTTTTTGCCGTCCCTCCTTGATGTCATTGGACATTTCGTCATTTGACGAATACAAGTCAGCAGGATGTCTCTGTTTATGTGTTATTGTTCTGCTCTGCCCCAGCGTGGGCGTATTTTGAGCTTGTTGTATTCTTAAAACAAAACTTTCTTAATAAAAATATTGAAACAGAAGTTAGACATTCACAGGTGTGCACTCCTGTCTTTCACCTAACACCTTGTTTTTTTAATCAGTACAAGGCATTCTCTGATTGGACAAAGTGGAGAGGAATGGCGGTGACATCACAATCTTTACCTTTTCCAATCAGGTAATGCCTTGGATTCACTGAAAAAAATACAAATATTTCTATGAATGGTGGCAGTGCAAGCTACTCCCTGTGGTCAGTGTGCAGAGCAAAAGCTGCTCAGCAGAGGATCCAGAGGGCTGTGGTTATTGCTATAGCAGCACCGACTACTACTGTAATTTTCAGCTTCCCCAGCGGCCACTCAAGTGTGAGGTATACATACTTATATTGGTCCAAGCTGCACCAATGTAAGTATGCAATGAAGATTATACGTGGCATTCAGCTTTAAAATTCTTGATTTTTCTGTGCTTTTTAAATTTTTTTTATTTGTTTTTACACTGGTGACTGGGAACTTGTCATCCACTTTAAATATTTTAAAGGCCTGCCAAGGAACAGATGCCACAAGACCTCTATTAACTCTCTGATAATAGTTTGAATGTACTCCTTGACCCCTGGCTTTTCTAATATCAGGGGTGCCAGTTGCTTTTCCGTTTTCCAGTGAGACTGCATCAGCATCAGTGATTAGGAAGAGTAGTCTAACCGGACAGAGGAATACCAGTAAGTAGCAGGATTTCATCCTCTATCTGCTAATGGAAGGGAATGTTTAAAGTGGTTGTAAACCTCAGAAATGAAATATGAACAAAGCCTATTCCTCTATAGTTTGTACTTGTCTCAAATAAAAGCACGGTCATTTCTGCCTGCTGCTTTGTTCCTCTATCAGCACGAATCACTTCTGACAAGTTTTCCTGACACCAAGAGAAAAAATGGTGACGGGAGGGACCTTCAGCAGATTGACAGCCTCAGCTCTGTTTCTGTGAGCTCTGTGGAGGGGGGGATTGTCTCCTTCCTCCAATCAGCTCTCAGAGCTCACCCCACTGAGCTCTTCTGTGTGTAACTTCAGCTCACCACCCCTTTTTTTCTGAACTCTCAGACAAGCTTTAAAATTCAGCACTTTAAAAGGATGTAGAGAAGAGAAAATTGCAAATAAACAGATACATTGTATGTAGGAGGATTTGTTTCATCTCTCTTTATCACCTGAGGCCAGTCGCTTCACTGGTTATACATAAGCGTTTATGACCACTTTAAAATGATGTCCAGGTTCGCTTCAACAACCACTGACTGCACACTTGACAGTTACTGAATGAGCGTGTGTACAGTTACTGAAGCCGTGTGTTATGGGACAGATTTCTAACAAACCAATGCCTGCGCGACCTTTAAATCTGAGAAGAATACTCCTATGGCTGCAGTTGTGTTACAAGGTGATCTTGGAAAGTTTGGATAAAAGAAGCGCTCTAGAAAAATCAAGTTGGCACTTAATCTTGTTAATCGCAGTGTGTATACATTTTGCACATATCTTTTCCCTTTCCAAAACGATGTTTTGATTGGTTAATGAAGCAGTGTCCATGAAGCACCCCTCGTGACGGTTAACAAATGCTCATTAACAGCTAGCAAAGGCCATATGTCGCAGCACTGTGGACAGCTTGTGAGGAGCTGTCTGAGAATCACCACCAAGGTCACATTCAGTCAGCCAGTCGGTAATTAGCTCCATGGAAGTGGGTTACGCAATGTAGCCACCTGCCTCTGCAGGAATAGAGGACACTTTCTACAGATAAAGGAACGCTATTTGCTTAGTAAAACATTGTTAGAGCTGTAGAGAATTGCTTGGCTACGGCAAACACCGACCATGGTTCAGCTACAATCACCCAGAGCCTACCTACATGCTGATCAATAAAACTGGCATTTATGTACTATCTCAAAAAGAAATTGGGTCCATGAATGAGCACAGAAGCCACATTCTGATCCGCACTAAGCCAAGAACCCTGAGCACTAAACCAATACCTTTGATCACTAAACCAAGATCCTTGAGCACTAAACCAAGAACCTTGAGCACAAAACCAAGAACCTTGAGCACAAAACCAAGAACCTTGAGCACAAAACCAAGAACCTGAGCACAAAACCAAGAACCTTGAGCACAAAAACCAAGACCCTGAGCACTAAACCAAGAACCTTGAGCACAAAACCAAGAACCTTGAGCACAAAACCAAGACCCTGAGCACTAAACCAAGAAACCTGAGCACTTAACCAATACGTTTTAGCACCAAAGATCCTTGAGCGCTAAACCAAGAACCCTGAGCACTTAATCAATACATTTTAGCACCAAAGAACCTTGAGCACAAAACCAAGAACCCTGAGCACTTAACCAATACGTTTTAGCACCAAACAAAGAACCTTGAGCATTTAACCAATAAGTTTGAGCACTAAACCAAAAACTATGAGCACTTAACCAAGACTATTCAGCACTAAACCAGGAACCTTGAGCACTAAACCAAGAATCTTCTGCATTAAAGCATGAACTTTCAACACTATTGCTTTAGTATTTTTACTTCAAGTCTAAACTCCAGGCGAACAGCTAAATACATACGTATAAGGGATCCAAGAAAAAACACACCACTCTAGACACTAAACTTCCATGGTGTTTATTGGGTGCCAAACAGGGAGCCTGTCTCCAAACTGAGTGCTGTAACTGTGAGAAATGGAAGGTCTTACACCAAAAAACATCACTGGGTAAAACGTCATTCAGCCACAATTGGCCAGCAGCTGGTCTCCACCCAGGAACTGATGCATTTCACCCGGATGGGCTTAGTCAAAGAGAATAGACCATAAGGGGGAAATACATTAGCCATATAAAAGGGATCTGTTTTATCTGCCAAAAGATTTATGTTTCCACCCTGTTCTGAGATTTACACAATCCTGCCAGATAGCACAGCCAGGTTTTTGCAGCTCCACAGTCAGCAGCTTACCAAAGTCATTGCAGGCTGCGGCTGAACAATGCTGAATGCTGTACTGAGTGGTACTCCTGTTTAGGGCCCTATGAATTCACAAACAAATACCCAGCATGCAAGTATTCTGTTCAACCCTACACACATAGAATCCTTAAAGTGAGTACTACTCAGTACAGCATTCAGCCGCAGTCTGCAATAGACTTTTAACAGGCTGCAGACAGCATAGCTGGATGTAGCACCTGTCCTCCCAGGTGCTCTAGAAGAGCCTTTCTCAACCAGGGTACCTTGAGGTTTCTTTAGGGGTGCCTTGGCAAAATGTCTAAAATTTGCCCAAAACTTGTATACAAGCCAGCAGGTGGAACGAGCCTGCCTTTTAGTTACAAAAAAGCTATAAGTTTTCATTGGGCACCATTACAATCTTTTAACTGCTGGCGTCCTGACAACCAAAGACATCATCTGTTGATAAGAAGGATGTGAGCTGCGTGCACAGCATCCTTGTTTGCCCCTCTCCATCAATACTGGGGTCACATTAGCTCAGTGATGGAGAAAAACTGAGGGAGAGGAGAAACCCTGGAATACTAGTCAGTACCAGTCTGCAAAAGTGTATTTGCTTTGGAAGAATAAATCACCTCCAATGTTGGGTGTCCTACATGTGTGGATATTGCTGCATTATATAAAAGTAGTAGAATCGTTTTTCAAAATTTAGAATGGGGTGCCCTTTTCAAATTATGGACAGTCTAGATGCACCCTGTTTTAGAATGGGGTGCCTCAAGACTGTCCATAATTTTAAAGGGTACCTTTTGAGAAACACTGCTCTAGAATGCCAGGAGGGATGCACAGCAGCTAGAGGCTGAAGGGGTGGAAATGTGAGATACCATTGCATCATGGATCATGTTATTAAAGTGACAGCCTGTATCTTCATGAATATTGCATATTTAGGAGAAAAACTACTCTTTCTTTCTTTTTTAAACTATCTACTTCTTTACACAGCATTTGATAATGACGTGGTTTCAGTGTCCAACTCCTCCCGCTATATTGAAGACCCTGGATTCGGATATAAAGACTTTGCAAGAAGGGGAGAGGAACACCTGCCTACATTCCGAGCACATGTATGTGTCTGCAGTTTTGTTTACATATTGTCTGTACACACAGTATATATACAGTATATATAACCACGCTGTGGTTATCTGGAGTTTGTAACGTTCATATGACCATCCTGGTGTCAATCGTAGCATTACAAGACTATATAGGAGTAGACCAACGTACAGCAATCAGAACATTTATGAACTTTCAGGACTGACAGCGATGGATAAGCTAAATTAACCTGTAGACTCGTCATTGAAGAAAAACTCCAAAAATTGATATAAAATAACTGGCAAGCCATATTGTAACTTCAAGTTTTTAAAGTGTATGTAAACCCAAAATCTATTTTCAGTATGTTTTGAAATCATGCCTCATTGTATAGAGTTTTCTTATGCAAATACTTTTTTTTGTTGGTCTGTTGCAAAAATTGTTCCCTGGTGATCCTGCCAGTGAAATCCCTTCCTGTTTCATGCTGCTAAAAATAATTAGCACTGTTTTGCAAGCTCCTTCAGTTGCTCATTGGACTACCCATCTGACTGGTGTGATAGGCAATATGAACAAGTGCCTGCCGGCTGACAACGCTGCTTCTGATTGCGAGGTTGCGACTTAGTGTTGTCAACAGCAAACAGAAAGTGCTGCTACTGGCAGGTTCCCCAGGTAAGAGACATTGCAACATATTCCCAAAGAAAATGGTATTCATTGAGACCTAATACCAAACATACTGAAATAGATTTTGGTTTACATACAGTAAAGCCTAAGTGCCTAAGTTTTTAGTTTTTTTTTTGTAATTCCTTTATGGCATTTTGCATTTAAGACATAATAGCCAGAGAAATATAAAACAACATAAAAATGTATAAAGACTACAAAGTAAATGGCAGTATACAGGTCAAGAGAGACCAATAGTCGGGTAAACAATTGTCAATGCAATATAGGGCAGAGTAGGCAGGAACATATAGAGAACCGCTACATGGTACTAAGTGGACCCTAGCAGTAGAAATAGTGATGGTGCACAGACAAATATCCAATTGGACAGGTCACAATAAGATCCAGACCTTCCCGGAGTCCACGGCCAGGGAAAGGAAACCCCACCAAGGGCCTGGGAACAAACTAAAATAACAATTTGAATATGAAAAATCCCCGTCAATTAAAGATTAACTTTGGAAATTGCGGTTCCACAAAGGGGGTCACTAGAAGACAGAAGAGAAAGAGAAGGGAGAGGAGAAACACGTTTGGAAAGGAGAAACACGTTGGGAAAGGAATAGAGGAAATAAGGGAAACCAAAGAAGAACCAGACGGGAATAGACCAGGAGAAGGGGGAACATGTAAAGAAAACAGGATAAGACAGAGCAACCCTACCACCCAAGGGCCCAGATAGATCCCAAAGTGGATAGCGGCTATGTCAGGCCCACGCAAACCAAATCAAGGGGGACGCCCGAAGATAAGAATCAGTGTAGACAATATTGCCAAGGCCTCCAAGTATCTCTAAATACCTCTCCACGGTTATACAGAGAGGCCGTAAGGTCCTTCATATCTCGCAGCTCATTGACCTTAGCGAACCAAAGGGACCTTGTGGATGGACTAAGTGCCTAAGTTTAGTCAAAACGTAAAAAAAAAACTAATCACAAGGGAGAGTACTTACAGTCAGTGAGTCCCTTGTGGTGCTCGATACGGTTTTAGTTGAAATCTGAAGTCCTCTAATCTCCTTCTCCACCACAACCCTAACCTAATGTGATAGACCTGTCATAGGCCCTCGTTCAACTATGCCCATTTTTTCCACTCCCCTCTCCACTATTCATGAATGCTGTACTATAGCTTCTATCAGTGAAAAGCATTCTATGAATGGAGGAATGAAAGGATTGCCTCCTTCATTTGTAGATCATTTTACATTCATAAACGCTTTAGTACAGCTTCTATGTATGAAGGAAAGGGTGGGCATAGCCGGCACTGTTATGCCTGTGACAGGTCCCTCGGCTCATATTAACCCCGCAGCATTGGAAGATTACGGTTGCAAGGGTAAGGTGGGGATCAGAGGACCTTGAGCACTAAACCAAGAATCTTCTGCATTAAAGCATGACCTTTCCGCACTATTGCTTTAGTATTTTTACTTTAAGTCTAAACTCCAGGCGGACAGCCAAATACATATAAGGCATCCAAGAAAAGCCACACCACTCCAGACACTACACTTCCATGGTGTTATTGGGTGCCAACCAGGGAGCCTGTCTCCAAACCTAGTGCTGTAACTGTGAAAAATCAAAGGTCTTACACCAAAAACATCACTGGGTAAAACTTCATTCAGCCGCAGTTGACCAGCAACTGGTCCCCACCCAGGATCTGATGCGTTTCACCCTGATGGGCTTAGACAAGGAGATTAGCCCATAGAGGTGAAATGCGTTCGCCCATAAGGGATCTGTTTTTAATCCATGTGCACTCATCAGAGGACTTTGGATTTCCATTAAAACTATTGCCAGTAGCACAAACACATTGCATTGATTGTAAGAACCATACCTTATGCTTATATTTTATTTAAATCCTAAGCTAAAACTACAGTTAAAATTTAAAGTGCTTTTCCTTTGCAACCTACAACCAACCACCGTTTTCTTTAGTTGTCAGAAAAAACATAAATTTCCTCCCTTGTTTGTTGCAGGACTACTCTTGGGAAGACCATGGATTCTCACTGGTAAATAGGCTTTATTCTGACATCGGCCACCTTCTAGATGACAAATTCCGAATGGTCTACAATCTCACCTACAACACCATGGCCACGCACGAAGACGTCGACACCACCATGTTAAGAAGAGCCTTGTTTAACTATGTCCACTGTATGTTTGGAATCAGGTACGTATAGAAAGGTGGAGTGCTAAAGATAATATTGCATGTGTTATAAATAAAAAAGACTATATTAAAGCAGAACATTTTCCTATTTTGTGATCAGATGGGGGGAAGAAACAAAAATTATGTCTGTGACTACACTAGGGAGATTTTTTCTCACTTTCTGTCCCTGTGACACCCATACAAGAAATGGGGGGAAGTGGTTTTCACCAGTATGGGAAGGCACAGGCAGCAATAAAAATGTTTCAGCACAAGAGGTTCACAAAGTTGCTATCACTCACCACTGTGGAGGAGAGGTGAGGCTTTTGCTCGATGCTTCATCCATCTGCATTGCTGGATGCTGCATCAATCTAGGTAGGTCATGCCTTTCTGATGAAGTGCTATCGCACGAAACGCGATGAAGGGGCCTGCACACCGTGACATCCATTTGCACATTGGTCAGTAATCTGTTTTCACTTGTTTTTATTTATACTTGAGTTATTCTACCACGTGGATTAATAAACACCAATTTTAAACTACTGCACTATGGGCTATTTTTTGCTGGCTCCCTGGTGAGCCTCACATCCATTCCAGAGCCCAAGCATCAGGAGTCTGTGACACATGATACCACCCTAAGGATGACGCACTCCATGATGTAAGCTGCCCAGTACCCAGTCCAATTCCTAGAGGGAAACAACGGTTTGGCTGCCCTACACCCATAAGGGAAGGAGAGTCCGCTAAGACGGCACAGCTCATCCATCCCATCCCATGATGGGGACCTCTGGTTTATGTATCACAGGCGTATTGAAAATACGCATCTGGGGAGTGCACATTTTCACTATTTGTCACCAGACCACAGGATCAGAAAGTCACTAGCAACTCCTGAATAATTCACTCAACACGAACTGTCACCTTTTTTTTATTTTTTATTTTTTTTAATATCCTATTGTGGTACTTCTTTTATCCATATGATTTTGTGAACATATTGAATATAGCATATTTCAGTGGAGTATACACATTTGATTCAGCGCTGCACTTTCTATATACAATCTAGGTAGGTATGATTTGGGGAAAAATGCCTAGAATTCAGATGTTTCATTCAGAGGGGCCTTGACACCCATTCTACATGCTGGCTGTGTTTTTTATTGCTCCTGCATTCACCCCGGGCTGCACACAGGCAGCCTATAGAGGTGGAATACGATGCATTGGCTGCACGGACGCAGCCACATATCAAAATTTGATATGCATGCAAGAATGGGTGTATGGATCCGAACGCCCGCTACCTGCATTCAGATCTGTGCACCCACTCCAGCACACACGTCAAATTTTCAGATGCAGCTATATCTCTGCAGCCACTGTGTTCGCATCCACCTCTGTAGGTTGCCTGCACACATCTCTGGCTCAGTGCACTCAGAATGGGTGTCAATGCCCATCTGAAAAGCCTAAACCTGTCATAAAGAAATACAGGGACTGCCATTGCTGGCCTCAAAGTTGATTGGTTATTATTCTCTCTGTCTTGAGTCATAATCAGCGGGACACAAAGGGAGATAATCTCCCCTGCAGGGACACACACCAAACCGATCCTGACAGAGGTTCTATCCCTTCCATATTCAGAATTGAAAAGAAAGTTTGGCTTTAAATTCACCTTAAAATATGGATCTCTTCTAAGTTACAACTTTGTTTTTATTAATGAGATAGTATTGTTCTATTGTTCATAGCAGATCTGTGATCAATGTTGCTTCCATCTATTGGTTTATGAGCAGACAAAGCCTGTGTAATGATTAATAAATCTCTTCCCACTAGCCGTGGTACAGTACGGGTGAAATTGGCTGTGCACTTAATTTTCTCTGTCTGACCTCATTTTGCCCAGGTACGATGACTATGATTATGGGGAAGTTAATCAATTACTTGAGAGAAGCCTCAAGGTTTACATTAAAACTGTGACCTGTTACCCCGAGCGAGCCACAAAACGCATGTATGACAGCTATTGGCGTCAGTTCAAACACTCTGAAAAGGTGAGTAAGCCAAATGCTGAACCCGATTCCACAGCAGTGCTGAATAGATTGTGAGCAGCAGAAGTCTCTATCAATGAATCGGGTTCTTTTTTTTATTCCTTTGCTCTTTCTTGACCAGAGGTCATTGAAGCCTAGATGCCCAGAATAGTATCAGTATGCATCATTTAAAATACTGTGAAACCCTCAGCTTTTAAAAAAGCACTGGCACTGTACTAATGACACTGGGCAGGAAGGGGTTAACATGTGGGGCGATCAAAGGGTTAATCTCTGCTTCCCAGAGATAGAAAGTGCACACCCCTGCTGACAGGAGTGTTGTTTACACACAGATCTCTCCCCTGTCAGCTGCTCCCCCGATCACCGAGTCCTGGCCATGAATCACTAGCCATGACCCGGTGGTCGATAGCTTCAGGAGCAAATGGCAGCACGGAAAATGCAAAATCGTGTGTGTGTGTGTGTGTGTATGTGTATTAATGTGTGTGTGTGTATGTGTATTAATATGTATGTGTGTGTGTGTATGTGTATTAATATGTGTATGTGTGTGTGTGTATGTGTATTAATATGTATGTGTGTGTGTATGTGTATTAATATGTATGTGTGTGTGTGTATGTGTATTAATATGTATGTGTGTGTGTGTATGTGTATTAATATGTATGTGTGTGTATATGTATTAATATGTATGTGTGTGTATGTATGTGTATTAATATGTATATGTGTGTGTATGTATATGTATATGCGTGTGTGTATATATATATATGTGTGTGTGTGTGTGTGTGTGTGTGTGTGTGTGTGTGTGTGTGATTTTGCACCCGGTGGTCGACAGCTTCAGGAGCCAAAGGCAGCACGGAAAATGCAAAATCACATATATATGTGTGTGTGCGCGCGATTTTGCACAACCGCCATGTAGCAGTTCTTCAGCTATGGGGTGGTCAGCAAGTGGTGTTAACACATTGAGCACAATAAAAAAAAAAAAAAAAAAACATTCCCCAGTAAATGCTTTTACAGTTCTTACACAAGAACTTGCAAGTTTCAATGCTGCTGCCTTCTGCTCTTTCAGTGCAGCTTACCTGAACTTCTGGTCTTCACATAAGAGATAACAGTGGACAGTGTAGTCTAGGATCAGTTTGTTAGCTTGGAGAAGGGAGTGGGGCAGAGCAGGGGAACTCTTTGCAATATCAGGCTATGGGGCTGTGTGTTTCTATTAATGCACACAGTATAGGAAGACACAACTCTGCTCCCTGCATGCAGGGGTAACTCCATAGGATGCTGCAAGAGCGCCACCCTGAAACCGGAAACCAGGTGCAGCAGTCATGCACCAGCTTAAACTTGAACATAGGCAAGCATTAAATATAAAGAAGCTACATACTCAGTAAGTGATTAGATCAGCTGCTAAAAGTGCTAAAAAAAACTATGGTATTTCTTCCAAAAAAAAATGTAAAATTTTGCAGCATGCCATCTCTTAAATGTAGAGGTTTTGTTTTTAATTTTGCAAGCTTTTTTTTCTTTATTTTCACCTGATGATTCAGCCAGTAACACACTTCCTAGGGTGTCTCCACTCCTCTGAATGGGCAACGGAGCCACCTTCAGACATCAGCATTGTGAATCTGGAGAAAGGGTTGTGTTAGATGAACTATCAGATTTAGAGATGAGTCAGTTGTCAGTATTAAATGTTTTGTCTCACCCCTCTGCCGCTTTTGCTGGACAGCTTGATCTGCTAAGGGAAGTGGAAAAGTAACAGACTTTCTGGCTGGATCACCAGGTAAAAATTAAGGTTAAAAAAGAAACCCAATGCAGCCATCACATTTAAAGTGGAAGGCAAGTCAAAACATAACAAAGCTTAAATCTACTCCTACCCCATTCTACGCATATTCTATCTACCCTGTAAAGATGTGTATACATACTTATTCTGCAGTCGCTCCGGTTTGGTCACATGATGATGTCAGCCATAGGCTTACTATGGGGCATCTGTTGTGAGCTATTCCTCCTCTACACTGAAGCCGGCACTGAGACCCGAACATGTGACCGGACCGGAATGCTTTCAGAATTGGTAAGTATAAGCATCTTTCTTTTTCCAGGGTAGATAGAATAAATTTAGAATGGAGATGGGAGTAGAGTTAAGCTTCGTTAGGTTTTGACTTGCCTTCCACTTTAAATGTGATGACTGCATTAGTTTTTTTTTGTAGTTTTTTTTTTATACCTTCCACTGGGTGCCTGCCTTCCACTTTATGAATTAATTAGATGTAATATATTTTTGTTTTTTTGGGTTTAACTGCTTTAACTTGACAATAACTCTGACTAATGTGCCCACCTAACAGTTTTTACATTGTTTAGAGGTTGTTTTAATACATATTAATCTTTTGTTTTTCATTATAAGCTGAGAAATTGACAGATTTTTTATAGCATTTTTTTTAGTTTGTACATAGTTGCACAAAAACCATGTGAACTTTTTACTTTTACTAACCTTTTTCACTCAGTGTACTGCACAATGACTGGAGAAGGAAGAACCGTTCAAACCTTGTGTATTTACCATGATTGACTGCTATGGTGATCAGCTGATTGAGACCAAGGCAAATAGTTTCCAGTCATTAGAGTAGGCCAGAGGCTGACATTGACAACACATTGTCAGAACTAGGAGCGTGAACAGATGCACGCTCCTAGTTCTAAAGTGTTATGTTGATTAATGTTCTCACAGCACTGGGAACTATGCCTAAGAATGGCAAATTTTCTCCATGGGCATTTGTTGTTTTTCACCTAAATCGTTACTCTGTATTCTAAAGCCAGGGCCATGCTAGCAGCACTATCACTGGCAATCACAACGCCCGGGGGTGGGGCTGGGTGCGTTGTGCTGAGACAAGCAGTGAAAAAGAGGTTTATCAGTAGTTACAACCCTCCTTCCTTTCCATAAAGAAGCAAGCTGCCCTGCACAGGGTGACAACCCTGCAATGATTTATCTGTAGTAGAATTAGCGTTGTCACCCTGTCAAAGTAAGTAACCCTCACTGACAGGATCATCAGGTTTTTCATATATTATGGGGCTAGTTCTTGTTTTTAAAAGAGAAGTACAGCCAAAGCTCTTTTGGCTGTACTTCTCCTGTGGATCACAGGAGTGAAGTTCGTTCTGCACTCCTGTGACCCGTTTTCAGCTTACAACGGACTGAAGTTTGCTGTCGGCGACGTTACTCAGCCGGACCAGGCTACCTTCAAAGTCGGCATCCACCCCAGAGTCTGGAGTGGCGTCTGGCTCAGCCTCTCAGCGAAGCTCTGAGAGCCTGAGCCAGCTTTACCTTCCCCCTCCACTGGGGGGGGCTGAACAGACCGCGGTGACTGACAGTCCCACTCTTTGCTCAGAGCGGCTGTGAGAACTCAGGGATCATGTGATCACTGAATTCTCACACTTAGAGCCGGAGGGGGACAGGTGCTGCATTCACCTAGGTCAGGGGTGGGCAACTGTGGCCCTTCAGCTGTTGGTCCCATCGTGCCTCTGCCTTTGGGAGTCATGCTTGTAATTCTTAGTTTTGCAGTGCCTCATGGGATTTGTAGTTCTACAACAGCTGGAGGGCCACAGTTGCCCACCCCTGACCTAGGTGAATATAACTAGGGAATAAAAAAGCCCTTCTTCTCTTTTAAATACAAATTTTTATAGCATGAAATACAAAATTTTGTAGCATGAAAGTGTATCTGTGTACTTTAATATGTAATAGATTGTGAGTGTGTTACAGAAAAAACTATTGTATGAACTGTTTGTGAATGAATCACACAACACATCTTTAATACAATTGCATGTCATTGGCCGACTCTTTTGTTGTCTTCTCTCACTCACTTCTCCTGTGTTTCCAGGTCCATGTCAATCTGCTCCTAATGGAGGCCCGCATGCAGGCTGAACTCCTGTACGCTCTGCGAGCAATCACCCGACACTTGACCTGAGATTCGGCATATCACCCGGGACATGCCAGCAACATCACCATTCAGTTCAACCGCAAGAGAGGCCCCTGTCATGTAGCATCAAACATATGCATTTCTCGTGTCAGTGCTGGCCCACTCAATGTGGCAGTAATGTGCAATCATCTGTGTTCTATTTTCTACAATGCTTTATCTTTACTAATGTTAGCAAAATGGCACTACTATAAAATATATATTTTTTTTTTTTTTTTTTTTTTTTTTTTTTTTTTTTTTACATATTGGCAGTAACTAATCCACACTGCTTTTCCAGAGAGTTTAAACACAGGATTTATTTTGTTGGATTTTTTCTTTTTGTACATAGATATGTAAATGTAGCAATTCTGGTTTGCCTTGTTCCAGTTAAATGTAGTGCTTTGTTTATATAAGACTGAAAAAAAAGAAAAAAAAACAGGAATATAAGCTGTACTGTCTAATACACAAAAGGGCTTATACGGTGAGGCAATGCAGAGTAGTGAGAGTCTACGCAGTGCAGTATCCTCCAATCAGAAACCATCAAAAATGGATTGCTAGGTGGAGCGTGGTATGGTTTGATCCTCTACTGCTTCTTTCTTGGTGTCTTGGTTCTCCTCGATATGGAGCTACTTTGTGTGCTGGCCATCACATTCTCCTTGCATGGAGTATTCATTCCTGGGCAACACTATATTGACGTTATGTAACAATGTAGTCCTCTTTTAAAAGGCAGTCTGATATGGATCACCCAATCTCATGTTCCCCTTTGACATGGGTTCATTTATTATCAAAAACCATTGATTAATGTCAAACAGTAAAATCAAAGATGATCCATGTGAGACTTGTTGGCTGTGATCAGAGGATTTATTGAAATTAGTAGAAAACAGGTCTCAGCAGATGCCTTGATGCATTTCGCAGTCAAGATTGGATGAAACATAGGACCTTCATTAACGTCAATAAATTCTCAGGATACTGGAAACGGCCCACCATGTTTGAGCGTAGTCACAGCCAGGCAAGGCAGGGGCACCATGGAGCAAACAAAGGGTAGTAATTCTAGAAATCCAGATATCTCCTGAGAATGACAAATGGAGAGTTAGCTGCCCAAGCTTGGATTGGTTACCTGATGCCTAGCAGTGACTTCAGCTGATTGCATGGATCTGTGGTCCTTTCCTCTACTCTACAGAAGAGTGAAGGATCTAAATACTCCCTGTGTGTCAATGAGCTCTTCCTTATACCAGATACCATTCTTGTTTCTTCCTAAGAGTTCAGAAACAGACAATCACAAGAAGTACTCCAAACCAAGGGCAATGCTTCTAATTAAGAGGACACCTACAGCCACCCTGAAAATACTTGTGTCTGAGTTATCTGCTAAAACTCTAAGCAGTTTCTGATACAGAAATATGACCGTTATCCCTGGAACCCACCAGTAGTACACAAGCCAACAATTCAGGACCACATCTCAAGTGGATTCTCAGCAGGAATATCTGGAGAACATAGGCCAGAGACAACAGTTTCCCAGTTACCACACCATGCTGGTGGTTGGGAGATATCCCCAAAAAGGTCCCATACAGAAGTGAAGAGGCAGCAGGAGATCAAACCTTACCTCCATCCACAATAAGCACACTTCTGTAAAGTTGCTCTTTGTCTCATCTGTAATAAACTGAAGGTGCTTCCTGCACTGCCTTATCGAATTAGCCCGAGAAGGCTTTTTCTGATCAGTCTGCCTGTAAATTGGTCAGAAAAGCTGAATCTGTGCCATAAGTTGAAGTTCTTTATCTTTATGTATTACTTTAGCAGCGTCTGCGTCCATGTTACAAGGAGCTGGATTTGGTGCTTAACCAACCCTGCCAAAAAGACTATCAGACATGGACGGTGGTCGCCAGCGTGAAAAAAAAAATGTGAACGTTCTCTTTATACCGTGGCATATTCTGCAGCATGCTACTGATGTGTAAAGCTCTGCATTGTAGTTATACTCTCTAATGGCTCTGTCCACCCAGAACGTAGTGCTCAGTAATGGGAGAATACAGATGAACTGAATCCACTGGCTTCTTATATCTTAGCATTTCCAGTGGCAAAACTTCCTCTCCGGTCTTCTCTGTAATTGTGAAATACACAATCAAACAAAAGTGAGCTTGCCTCCTCATAACTGACACCAGCAGACAGGTCTGTGCACGGTACAGCAGAGATCCACACGGAAAGCCATAAAAAAGCCGTTGGCTAAGTAAGCCTGCAAAACTGCAATCATAGTTTTGGGTGGACTGACCCCTTTAAAACAGAAAAATTGTATTGATTTTATTTCATCATTCGGGCATAGCTGAGGATCTGTGTGTATGTGTTATTTGGGGGGGGGGGGGGGGTTTGTTTGTTATTGGGTTTTGTTTTTTTTTTTTTTTTTTTTTTTTTTTTTTTTTTTTTTTTTTTTTTTTTTTTTTTTTATACCAAAGTGTGCCCAGAAAAAATGGAAACCAGTCAGGTACCTGGTTCAAGAACCGTTGTATCAGTCTGCTGTTAAAGCCTGGAAGAAAGTGTACTTAAAGGACCACTAAACCTACAGAGAGAAGTTAATTTATGTGAAGGAGTTACTGACAACATTTACAAATCTGTATAAAAAAAGGGCCCAGATCTGCACAGAAAATTGATATTTATGCAGGTTTACTCTTGTCGAGGTAGCTGATATTTAAAACCACTCTGTCTCTGGAATATAAAAAGCCATCCTGCAATTACAGTTATAATACTTATCAGTCAGGCAGGCGTTGACTCTGGCATAGCTCTTCATAAGAGTGATCAGTAAAAAAAAAATCTTCAAAATCTAACATGTTTCCTAGAGTGTTGAGTGCCTGCATCAGTCAAAAGTGAACTTCTATGTCACTATAGCTGTGCATGGTCACAGTAGCAATAAAGAGGCCAACGGGTGGAATCACAGCTCATGAATTGGGTGCTGAAGATATCCGATAGGATTGGATAAATATTATAACTCTTCTTTTGCCGAGTGACTTTTCAATTTCTTTGTCATTGGTAGAATTATTTTAAGGCTAGAAGAGACCTCTAAAGTTGCTGGAGAAGGATGTCAGATAGTTACAGGGAAATATTCGTTTTTAGACCAGCTTCAGTTTCCATATATACAGATTTAATAGACATACTCATGAATTTTATCAGTTGCTCTTGCACATAGAACAACCTCTTTGGCTTGTGTTTACTGGCTCCCAGCATTAAATACCCTTAAAATGTGCCATGTTTGGTGGCCTTTAAAGGCTACTGTTAAAATATAAGCTACTTGATGGAGCTTCCAAACAATTGTATAGAGTCAAGCAGAATTTCAATGAAATATTCATCTTTGAAAGATGGACTGGTAACTTTCATTCATGTAGTTGTTAGAAACAACAACCATGCCTTGTTCCTTGGGGAATGTGTTTTCCAATGCTCACTGGATTTCCTCTCTAGAATAGTTTCTGTAAATTAAATGTTTGCAGTTTAAACTCTGAACTGCATTGAACTTGTCCAAACCTACCAACCAGTGGCTGGAGGATCCTGATTGTCAAGGTAGAGATTTGCAGTTTAAACTCTGCACTGCATCAAACTTATCCAAACCTCCCAACACAGTGGCTGGAGGACCCTGGTAGAGATTGGTGACACTGCTCTAGATGTGAATCTAGTGAATTGGGTGGTGGGTTTAGAGCAGATTAGCCTGGGCTGAATTTCGCTGACTATGTAAAAATATTGGAGGTGTGAATATTATTTCCATTGTTGCCAGTTGCCTTTTCAGCTTGACTATCTGATGATCGAAACGTTTTTCTGAAATAATTTCATAATAAAAGTCAGCTCCACCAAAACAGATATTTCAGGCTTTTATATAGCAAGGAAACATTACAGTACTTTGGGTCTATGCCCCTTTCCACACTAGAAACTGTGAAGGTGCCACTGTCCTATACCTAGACCTCCCAACCATTTGTTTATTATCCATTGCAAGCCTCATTTGGCTTTATACTGGGTGGAACTCGAAAATCTATCCCAGAAAGATAGCAGGTCTTTCACAGTGCCAGCAACCATGCAAAACTGAAATCTCAATTTTGGGTGGGGTTGCCCTTTAACCCTCTAGCTTATTGTTTTGAATTTTTTCAAATTGAAAGCCTTTTAGGAGGGTTGAACGAGCAAGAAAAAAAGGTGATGATGTTCCTTTTTGGAATGTGAACTGAGGAATCGGCGATGTCTCTGAAGCACTTTTTAATTGATAGGCTGCCTTTTTGTGAATGTCTGGTCTCCTGACGGAATCAGTCAGCTGACCTTAAAAAGCACAATTTGCCATTTTGTATGCTGAGGCAGTAATCGGCCCATCAGTGTTTTATAATCTGTGGCATCAGCGAGGCACGGTCTAGTTTGCCTCCCAGTGGTATCAGTAGCCTTGAGGCCAGTTACCATTTGGTCCGGTGACAGGCCAGTTACTGTTTTCAATGAACAGCATGGCTTTCTCCACTATGTCCAGGTGTAGCACAATTATCTCCAACAAAGCAACTGTCAGGCCAGACGCAGTGACAAGACTGCCATTTTCTGACCTGACCAGTGGCTATATCCTCCATTCCGAGAGCAATAAGATTTGCGTATTGGCTGGTTGTAAGTTTCTTTGTGTGCTTAGTGTGTTTGTATGGGATAATGTGTTTGGATCGTGCTGTTTTAACGGTCTGTTGAGAGTTGACATTTCAGTTATCCATTGACTTCTCATAGTTTTTAGGACTTCAGTATGTGAAGGAGCAGTGTGTACCACAAGCGTTTACAAAATATTTGCCAAGATTTCAAAAAGCTTCAAGCTTTGGTCAATCCTTTAAATAAAACTTCAGTTCCATTATTGAGATGTTAAGCACAAATCCGCTTGTTGAAAGCTTTGTATAGAACTGCTTTACAAACTGCTCTTTTACAAGCTGAAGCCTGTATGTACAAGGCCTTAGGAAGACAAGAGATCTCCTTGTTGGTTTTCCCCATTCTTATACCCCCCTTCCCTGAACTGATCTTGTCAGCAGGTG